GTGTGCCCCCACGGTAGTCCTAAGTGCCCAGCACAGGACCCGGGAGCGCTCCACACGGTGAAGCAAAGAGCTGTGTGTTCCCGCACAGCACGCAGCTCACAAGCACACTTCCTGCCTTCTCGCTTCCTCCCTTTCTGCCTCACTCCCATGTTCCCTCACTCTGTGCCCTAAAATCATGCTCCCTCAGAGCCTGGGTCACAGCCTGGCCCTGGCACTTCTCTCAGTGAACTTGAGATAAGCCAGGTGGTTGTCAGACAGTCGTAAGAACTCCTATCTGATGGCGTCAGAGTGAGTGAGTTCAATACACAGAAAGTTCGCAGCATGCAAGCTCTCCGCAGAAGTTAGTGTTGCTGGGTGCTATGCGTGCACCTTTTATCCTTGCTAATTAAGGGGCAGAGGCAGGAGGATCTCTTGCACTCACAGACTCAGGCCCAGCCTAAATAACAGCGAGACTCCCATTTCAAAAGAAAAATAGTGTTTGTTGTTTCTAACATCTTGGACCAAGAAAATGGAGGACACTGGAACAGAGCAGGTCAATAGAAGAATGGAAGACTTTATCCCAGGACCCCTCAGTGCTGGAGCCATGGGGCTTGTGTGAAGGTACAGAGAGAAGCCTCCCTCACAGAGATGCCAGGGTTGCCTGCTCTCAACAAGGTGGGTGGAAGACTACCGGAGTTCTAGGGAGAATACAAGGGTTTCTCTAGAAACAGGAGTCGACCTCCGTGCAGGAGAGCAAGGGGGCACTGGAGTAGCACCGATAGCCCCACACCCCCACTCCCACAGCATCTGAGAGGAGGTAGCACCCATGCTCTGGGAAGATCACAGCAGGACACGCACTGTGGCACATGCCCCCCCACACTGGACACAGCTCCAGGTTCATCTGTGGCCAGAGGGACACTGGTGTGAGGGACCCAGGCAACACAGAGGACGAATGAGCTACACGAAACCCACCAGCGTGGATGGTTATTAATTTGACAGTGAGCATGTGGAGCCAGAGATGAAAGCACTCTCTTTGCACCATGGCCACAATGCACAAAACAGATCTGCACTGGCATGGGTGGGGGAGCTTCCTGAGCGGGGCAGGTTGCACAGGATGGGAACACTGACCAGTCTCTCTTCCCAGTTCTGGGCAGGGTGACACCGGACTGCTCTCTCTGACAATCCCTGCCTACCACACTCAGAAAATTGTGTACTTTCTATTTGGACATTGTATTGTAATATTTATCCTAAAGGCCCATGAACATAGTTTTGATGACTGTGATACAAGGGACATTGGCTTGGAGTTAGAAGGCCCAGGTTCATCCTTAAACCACCTGAACTGAGATGCTCTGGTCTCTCTTTGAGTCCTTGTTTCCTCTTCCCAAAAATAGGGAGGTTGTGTGTATAGATTATATGATTTTTGCAGAAACAGTGGAATCTTGCAACTTTCTGATTCAGAGAGAGAGAGAGAGAAAGGGAGAGAGAGAGAGAAAGGAGGAGGGGGCCTGGGGATAAGCGCCTGCCTTGCAAGCAGGCAGTCGTGAGTTCGATCCCCGGTACCGATAAAAAAAGAAAGAAAAGAAAAGAAATTAGAAAGGAGGAGGAGGAGGAGGAGGGAAGGAGGGGAGGGAAGAGAAGAGACCTGAGAGCCCAATGTGCTGTTGGAACTGGCACTGTCTTCCTGTTCCTTGTCAGAGCGTCTTCTGTTTGCTTCCTGTTCACCATGCTGTGACCAGCTCTCCTCCGCTATGCCCTCTGTCATGCTGTCCTGCCTAGAAGCCAGCCAACTATGGACTGAACAAACTAAATAAACCAAAATAAACCTCTCCTCCCTTAAATTGTGGGTGTTGGATATTTTATTCCAGCAATGAGAAAAATTACTAAGATGCCTCCTCTCACTGCTGGGTTTACCTCTCCTCCTCCTACCTTCTTCCCAGCAAGGAGTAGCCATGGCCAACCTAGGGTTTGTGCAGCAATGAAGAAAATCAAAACATCTGCTAAAGGGAATTTCCCATACACCTCACGGAGCAGAGCCCAGGGAATTCAAGATGGCGCAAGCAGCAAAGTCTGACCAAGGTTTCTGTTGCAAGGTCCCACATATGCAAGCACAGCGTAGCTTGCCCAATCCTATCACCAAAAAACCCCACAGCTCATTAAAAAAGAAAAGACAAGAGCCAGAAGGGTGTGGGGGGGGTGTGAGCCTATAGATGCAAATCTCTCCCCCTTCCAGGGCTTCCTAAGTGTTTTGTGTCACCCCCAAGATTGGCTGAGTTCTTGACACGTCTCATTTGGCATCTGAAGCAGTAACTACACAAAAAGATGCCCAATATTGTTCCTAGAGAAATGCAAAATCAAATCATGTGGCTCACATTAAAAAGGCTTAGCTTTTGGTCATCCCTAGTGATGCCAAGAGTACAGAGCAAGGGGATCTCCTGTAAAGCTCTGGTAGGGTTGCACAGTGGTTCATGCAAATCTGAAACCTGCTTAGTAGCTAAAACATTAGAAGTGCACACCCTGAATTCTGTCCTCAGTTTCTTTTCCTGAGCAATGGAGTTGCTCGGAGAATCTTTTATTCTTATATTTGGTCTCTGATCCCAGTTCCAGATACAAAACTTCTAAATCCCTTAGAATTCCCAAGGTAATATGTCTTGGATAGCTGTGCAGCCTCAGGGCAGAGATTTGTTGCCAGGGGAACACACTATGGGATTAAAGGATTAGGACTTTTAGTCCCTCTCATGATCTTTGGGGAGGGAAGAGGGCGCCCCCTAAGGCAGAGTTAATTATCAATGGCTAGTGGTACAATTGATCAAGCCTACTTAATGAAACCTTCATGATACCTCCCTCTCCACAGTCCTAGAGGACAAGCATCCTCTTGCATATCTACTTGATTTCTCTGTGTCTATCTCTGTCTCTCTGCCCTCTCTTTCTCTCTGTCCCCCCCCCCCGATTCTAGTACAGGTGTGTTATAATAGGGAGTTCTTTAGTCAATCCCTCTGGCAAAGGGAGAGTTGCCCAGCCTTCTATTTTGTTGAGCCTTGTGTATCTCCAAATAAGATGACTCCAGGCAGATGTGTGGACAGAGGTCTGTGCACTGAATAACAGCCAGTATTTATTGAAGGGTATGCCAAATACAGTCTAGGTGCTTTTGTTGCATTATCTGCTATTACTCATAATACCATGAGGCAAATACTCTTTCAGAGGCAAATACTCTTTCACAGATAAGAAATCAATGCAGAGAAGTGAAGTAAGTCACTCAAGGTCCTGCAGATAGGAAGGGGTAGAGTAGATATCATACCCAAGGTACTGGTGGATTTATTTTTTTTTTAAAGACCAACTAGGAGAAGGAAGTATTACAGCATATGTCCCCAGACCAACTGTGCATCAGCATAAGCGTGGGCAGGCCACCTTTAAAATGCACACTCCTAGCCAGGTGTAGTGACAGATACCTTCAAATCCCAGAAAACTGGGAGGCTGAAGCAGAATTTTTAGTTTAAGACCAATCTGACTGACTTCGCAAGACTCTGCCTCATTATAAAAAATTAAAGAGAAAAAATAAACAAAATAAAAGGGCTGGGGATATAGCTCAGCATGAAGGTGCTGAATTCAATACCCAGTGGCACGAAAAAGCAAAACAGAACAAAACCCCTGTACTCCTGAGGACACTTACGATGAATGGAAATGTTTACTGTTTCAATTAAAGGCATGGTTTTGTGGATCGATACATTTCTCAAAGTTGAGGAATTCAAGTCTCATCATTCTTGCTTTACTCTTGTACCACCAATACTAACATATGTTTACCATTTATCTCTTTTAAAATCTAAACACAACAGAACCTTTTTTTTTTTTTTTTGTCTTTTTGAGACAGGGTCTTACTATGCAGTTCAGGCTGGCCTTGAGCTCACTTTGTAGCCCAGTTTGGTTCAGCAGAATTCACAATGATCTTCTTGCCTCAGCCTTTTGAGTGCTGGGATTACAGATATGCACCACCATGCCCAGCATAGAAGCTACATTTTTTACTGTTACCAGAAAAACAATGTCCTTTGCAATAAAGACCGCAGTTTTTAAAAAAATAGAAAGTAAATGAAAATAAACACATAAATGTCTGCAAACTGAGCTCAGAACTCCCAGCAACTGCTGGCTGCATGTAGTGGCTCCCAATGTCAGGGTGAAGTAGAACCAAGTTCACATCAGCAGGAAGTAAGGAATGGAGTTCAAAGTGGCAGGGAACTGAGTTCAAGCCAGCAGGAGGCACACAGACTACTGCCGACTGAACAAAGCAGGTTCCATTCTCAGCCAAAACCAACCAAACTTCAGTTAAACTAAAAGTGCAACATGCATCTGGACTCTGTCTGCCCAGTTTGTCTACCAGTGACAGCAGAGACACACCTTGAAGTCAAAATTGGTTTTTCTTATTTTTTTCCTTTTTTTTCTTTGCCTTTTCCTTGTTTTGTTTTTAAAAAATTCATAGACCGAAAATCAAAGGATAGAAAACAGTATTCCATGCAACAAGAACCTGGAAAAAGGCAGGGGTAGCTATTCTATTTGAAGACAAAGCAGATTTCAAACCAAGATGCACTAATAGAGACAAAGAAGCTCACTATATCCTTGTAAAGAGAACACTCTATCAGAAAGAAATAACAATCATAAATATATATGTACCAAAAACCAACACATCAAACTATATAAAATAAATTTTAATGGACATGTGTAGGGAGCGGCATGACTGCCCCATTGCTGCCTCCCTGCCTCTCTCTTATGGGCATATGATGCACCTGCCTACATTAACCATAATCCTCTCCTGCTTACATCATATACCCGGACGTGACGATGACCCTGTTGTATTCATCCCCATAGCCTCTTCCCGTCTCACCAGCCCACCCTTGACCTATAAAAGATGTGATCACTTCCTGAATAAAGGAGATTGATTGGACTCCTCATCTTGTCTCAATCTCTCTTTGTCTCCCCCCTCCCATCTCTATTTCATCCCCGTTCCCCCTCCAGGTACACCCCACGGATTGATCTGCATGCCGGATCAAGTGGTGCCCAGTGTGGGGGCTCCTGGCATGGGGGAGTTAACGAGGGAGCCGTTTGAGAACGCCGGTGAGAAGTAAAAACAAATTAAATCAAGGATCAAAGCTAAGACTGAAAACAAACTAAATCAAGGATCGAAGCTAAGAGTGAAAGCAAACTGAATCAAGGACCGAGGCCTGCATGGACAACTGCCCAATGTGCCGCCCGAGTCACGGTGAGTGAACAGCAACCCCATTCCCTTTCCTGGACATGGGTCAAGCTGTCGGTGTCGCTCCCGGCCGGCAGGAAGAACACACGACAAAATCTGGCGGTGGCGAAGTATTCTATTTTATTTCTCTCCTCCTTCACAGTCTACCCCGGGACTCGTCCCGGCCGAAGCCTCTGTTGGTCCGCTCCCCGCGGCTCCTTCCGTGCTTCTCCCTCCAGGGGTGGAGTTACTGGCTATATATAGGATTGTGGCCTCCAATCAAATCAAGGCGGGTCGCGTAAGCTGATTGGCTAGCAACATTAGTAGCTAGGCAGACTACCCTGCGAGGCGGGAACTTAGTGGGGTGATAGGGATCAGGAAGCAGGAAACAGGCACCATCTTGGCGGGCTCGATGGGAGGGGTAATCTAGCTCAGGCTTTTGTACCTCCCTACAGGCCTCGCGATCACCGCGTCTGATGACTTGGCAGTGCCACGGCTCCCAACATCAAGCATTGAGCGAACATGAATTGTTCATGAGAAGCCTCAGCAAGGCATGAAAGACAAGAGGGGTAAGGGTTAGAACAAAAGAATTTTTGCAGTATTTTCAATTTATTCATAAGGTTTGCCCTTGGTTCCCCCTAGAGGGCTCTATAGATACCAAGAGGTGGAAAAGAGTAAGAGATGCTCTAAAAGATTATTATAGCGTTTTTGGTCTGGAAAAAGGTTACGGTGACCACCTTTGCATATTGGAATTTAATTTCTGAGCTGCTTGCCCAGCGGCATGCAGATCCTCAGATTGAGGAGACGGTCACACAAGGCCCTCTGAGCTACACAGCCTTATAGTGCTCCTAAGATGGCGCCTGCCTCTGGCAGGCCTTGTGGCACTTTTAAAATGGCACTTGCCTCACTTCTGCCACATCAGCGTGGGTCCCTCCCTGAAATGGCATTTTCAGTGATGGAAACAAACATACCTCCCTAAGATGGCGCCGCACAGCCACAAGATGGTGCGGGCACTGCACCGCTAGCTCCACAAGTCATTAGGACCCATATGCCATTCACAGTGGCAGCTTTAAAAGAATTAAAGACAGCGGTTGCCCAATATGGCCTTACAGCTGCTTTCACTCTTGCTTTTTAAATTCTCTGCCTGATGGCTGGCTCACACCTACAGATTGGCAAAGATTGGCCAGAGTGACTTTATCGGGTGGGGATAATCTTTTGTAAAAATCAGAATATACAAAAAATTGCAGAGACTACCAGGCGCAATACACAAGCCGGCAATGGGTGGGACCTTAATATGTTAATAGTGGAGGATGCCTATGCCAAAAGAGAGGCCCAAAAGCAATTTAAGGACGATATGAGTTCCTCTCTCAGGAGCATTAAGCAGGGGCTGGGGATTTAGCTCAGTGACATAAGTACCTGCCAGCCAAGCACAAGGTTGTGAGTTCAATTCTCAGGGCTAGAGATTTAACTCAGTGGCACAGGTGCCTGCCTGACAAATAAAAGGCTGTGAATTCAATCCCTGGTACCATTGACATTGAAACTGCTTGTCAGCAAGGCCTTGCTATGGCTGCTGCCTTGCAAGGGTTTACAGTTAAACAGTTCTTATCTCAAAAACATAAACAAAACTGTTTTACCTGTGGAGAGACTGGTCATTTTGCAAAAAAGACTCCAGAGATAGAGATTCCAATGTCAATTACTTTGACTTATTTAACTGATCCGAGTGATATTGGTCTAGTCTCAAGTTTAATTTCAGCATATGTAAGGATGTCCCCATCAGCTGCTGAGAGGAGAATGAGAGACACTATGGTAGTTATTATTGTCTTCCCCAATGTCAGATCTTAAAGACCTGAGAAGCCTTCATCATCCTGTAATGATTTGATTAGTTCTATAATATGCAATGTGTATTTAATGTGCGTGAAGATGGGGACAACTGTTTGGAGGAAACTAGAGACAATTAAGTAAACAGTAAAGATCTCCAGTAGACTTGCTTTGAAATCTGTATTTCTTTAAATCTTTTTTTAAAAACTGTTTTGTTCTGTTTTGATATATTTGGTCTTGCTCTCTTTGAGATAAAAAAACAAGTGTGTAGGACTGATAAACATATTACTAAGTTTTTGTTGGATCGTTGAGCAGAACTGTTGGCAGTGTCACTATTTAAATGTCATTTTGCATGCTTTAATTTTTTAGCCTGAACAGCTATTTCTAGGATGACAATGTAACTTATTTACAGATAGTAAAAAAATTGCCTTTCTTGTGCCATGCACCTCCCAGTTCCACACTTCGGGGTTAATCCTAGAGGACTTATCCTCAATGCATTATGGCAAATGGATGTCACCCACATTCCTGAGCTTGGCAATCTTAAATATGTTCATTTAACTATAGATATCTTTAGTGGTTTCATTTATACCTCTCCCCAGACTGGCAAAGCTACCAAACATTATTAGCCATATGTTAACTACCTTATCAGTTCTGAAATGCCCACAATTAAAGACTGATAATGGTGCAGGCTATGCTAGTTCTGCCTTTGCTCATTTCTGTCAACATCTTAATATTGATCATATAAAAGGAATACCTTATAACCCTCAAGGTCAAGGCATAGTTAAAAGGGCACATCTTTCCCTAAAACTCTGTTGGTAAAATAAAAAAGGAGGAGTGGTGCTCCACAAGGGGGACACCTAAAAATATTCTATCTCATGCCTTATTCATCCTTAATTTTTAAAATTTGGATGCTGCTGGACAGTCAGCAGCCATGTGTTTTTGGCATTCTGAAACACAAAAGCAATTTGCTTCTGTACTATAGAGAGACCCCCTGGCTAATTCATGGCATGGCCCTGACCCCGTTCTCATATGGGGACACGGCTCAGTGTGTGTTTACTCTCCACAAGACAGAGAGGCTAGATGGCTACTTGAGCGCCTTGTAAAACAAGTAGACAGTTCTTCAAAGACCCCATGCGACTCTCAGGAATAATGTCATTTCCTGAGGCACAACTCCCTGTGCTCTTTTACAGACAACACAACTCCTCAGAGCCTTATGCTGCCTGCTCAGCCTTCTCCTCGGACCGTACCACACCCATGGTGGATTTAGAACCCCGCCAAACAGACTACAACTGCTGACAGCCATGCACAGAACCCCCTGTGACTGCGGAAGAGGCTCTTTTCGGTCTGGAGGAACACAAACCAGCCAAATAGATTGCGGAAAAATGTTGCTTCTATGTCAATCAGTCCGGTGTTATGCGATGCAAGCTCCAAGAAATAGAAGAACGACTTCAACAGCGATGACAACAAATGGCCGCTAACCCCTTCTCCTCGATGTGTGTCGGGGGGGAGCTTTTCCCTTACCTAGTGCCCCTTTTGGGTCCCTAGCTGCCCTGTTGCTTCTCCTTTCTGTAGATCCTTATATTTTTCAGAGGATTATGACGCTCATTAATAACCAGATAGACATGTTTATGGCAAAGCCCATTCAGGTACACTATCACCAGCTGGAGATGGCAGATCACAAACCTACCAGGAAGGAATTCCCACGAGTGGCCCATATGACGATGTGGCCTAACTGTACTGGGGCAATGGACAGGCATCCAGAGACGGGCAACTAGGACATGCATGATTACATGGCTGGCTGCTTAAGACAGGCACAGGACCAACTGCTGTCCTGCAAGCCCATGATGGGTAAGGCCTGGTTGGGTTCATGTAATGAGGTTCCTTGGCCTAAGACAGGCGCTGTCCTCACAGAGCCTGCCATAATCCTGATTAAATAATATAGAAAGGGAGGAGATGTAGGGAGCAGCATGACCGCCCCATTGCTTCCTCCCTGCCTCTCTCCTATGGGCATCTGATGCACCTGCCTACATTAACCATAATCCTCTCCTGCTTACGTCATATACCTGGACGTGACGATAACCCTGTTGTATTCATCCCCATAGCCTTTTCCTGTCCCATCAGCCCGCCCTTGGCCTATAAAAGATGGATCACTTCCTGAATAAATGAGACTTGATTAGACTCCTCATCTTGTCTCAATCTCTCTTTGTCTCCCCCCGTCTCTATTTCAACCCCATTTCCTCTCCAGGTACACCCCATGGATTGATCCGCGGGCCAGATCAGACATGAAAAACCAAATAATCACTAATACAATTGTAATAGGGGACCTCAATATGCCAGTCACAAATACATAGGTGAACTAGACAAAAAAATTGACAAAGAGATATCAGAACTGAGAAAAACTTTTGAACAAATGGATTTAGTAGATTTCTACAGTCTTTCACCTCACCACATCAAAATACACATTCTTTTCAGCTGCACATGGGATGTTCTCCAAAACAAACCACAAATTAGCTCATAGAACATATTTAAGTAAATGAAGAATTGAAATTATTCCTACATATTATCGGACCACAGTACAATGAAATTGGAAAACAGTGGCAAAAGAAATCACAATATCTGCATCAACACATGAAAATTAAATAACACCCTCCTAAACAACCAATAGATCACAGATAAAATTAAAGAAGAAAATAGACAGTTTCTGTCTATTAAATGATAATGCCAATACAACATACTGGAACTTATGGGACACAGTGAGAGCAGTCATACAAGGGAAATTTATAGCAATGAATACTTTTATCAGGAAAACAGAGACACCTCAAATAAACAACGTAATGTTGAACCTCAAACTTTTAGAAAAAGAAGATCAGGGGCTGGGGATTTAGCTCAGTGGCATAAGCACCTGCCTTTAAAGCAGGCAGTCGTGAGTTCGATCCCCAGTACCGATAAAAAGGAAAAAGACCAAAAAAAAGATGTATATAAAAAAGAAAAAGAAGATCAAGTCAAATCCAAAACTCACATGAGGGGAGAAATTGTGAAGGTCAGAGCAAATTGAATATTAATGCATTAAAATATTAATGTAAAAATGACTAAGTAAACAATACAAATAATCAGTGAATCAAAGAGTTGGTTCTTTGGCAGAGTAAATAAAATAGGCAAACTCTTACTCAACCTAAAAGGGGAAAGAAAAGACTCAAATCCATGCAATTAGGAATGAAAAGAGTGAAATCACAACAGATCCTGCAGAAATGCAGAAGATCAAATACCTACTTGGAGAACCTGTATTCTAATAAGATGGAAAACACAGGAGAAATGGACAGATTCTTAGATACATATGAATTACCAAAGTTGAATCAAGATGACATAAAAATTTTAAACAACCCAATATCAATCAACAAAATTGAAGATGCTATTAAAAACTTATGAACAAAGAGAAGCCCAGGGACTGATGAATTCTACAAGAAATTTAGAGAAGATTTAATGCAACTACTTCTAATTCTACAAGAAATTTAGAGAAAATTTAATACAACTACTTCTCAGATTCTTTAATGAAATTGAATGGGAAGCAATACTCCCAAATTCATTCTTTGAAGCAAGCATTACCCTGATACCAAAACCAGAGGATTCAACTAAAAGAAGACAGATACAGGCCAGTTTCCCTAATAAATACAGATGTAAAAATCCTCAATAAGACACCATCAAACAAAACACAGCAAATCATCAAGATTATACACCATGACCAAGTAGGAGTCATCCCAGCAATACCAGGATGGTACAACATATGCAAATCAATAAATGTAATACACCATATTTTTTTATTTTTTATTTTTTTTAAATTTTTTATTTAAGGAGAAAAGAAAAAAAACAGTGAAAGGGTACAAGTTATACAGATTTACAGAAGAAAAAAATGAACAGTAGGAAATCATTAGTTAATGGATTACATATTGACATCTTAGAAATAATTGTTCAAGTCACAAAATTAAAGCTTGTAGAGTGGACATTCCAACAATGATACTGCAAACAGTTCTGTTCAATGATCCAATAAAACTCTGTGCTATCATTTTCTATCTTATACACTTAAATATACATGCAGTTATATAGTTTAGAGCACTTTCTTTTCCTCTCTTTTGTACAATGACTGTTACACGTTTTGGGTTTCATTGCTCCCACGGTTCTTATTGCTTTTTTGGAAGAGAGTAAAACCAAATGAGACATAACAGAACAGAATCGGTGAAGTCAAAAGGGTGGACATAATAGATAATATAAAAACATAATACAAGGTGATCAACAATGGTTACCATAATGCCTCCCGCTATCTCTAATAGAATTGCCTACATCATTAGTTATAATACAATTGAACAAAACAGTAAAGAACAAAACCGACAAAACCAAAACATTGGAGACATTGTAGGTCTTCAAAAGTAGATAAAAGTCAACGAGAATGGGCGTTACAATGAATCTCATTATCTTCACAGCTGATGCCTAAACTTTCAAACCTGATACTATCCAGCAAAACAGAATAGGGGAACATCAGTCAAAAACAAGATGGTGAGAGTAATACAGGGCTTCAAATTGAGATAATAGAAAGTCAAAGTGGGTTACTATATTATATCCTGCTATTTTTTCCCTTTAATTAAACGGATAAAAATAAAAAAGTAAATAATGGAGTGGAGATTGAGAAAAAAGAGGGCATAACAGTGAAACAGTGCAGATCAAAACATAACCATTTAAGCAGAATAGTGTTTCACCACCAGATAGTTCCGACCCAAAAGTAGTTACCATATTGTCTCTTTCCTTGAAATCCTTGAGTACAACTTCGTATACTGTAGCATTAAGTATATCAAAACAATGTAAAACCATTTAAGAGAATGACAGCATTACAGAGTATTTAGAATCGACTAACAGAAAATGAACAATGGTTTCTGTATAATCTCCTTGTCTTTAAAAGGTTTTTGCTTATACTATCATACATAATAAAATCCAATAAGATACAACCTGTTTAGACCACTGGAGACAGAAGAACAAAAGCTAGATGAGACTTCAAAACAAGATGATACTAAATCAGTATTACCTATTAAGATGTCATTTTCTCCAAAATAGCTGTTCCTATCATCCAATCTTCTCTGTCTCATTTCTGTTGAGCTCTTTTTCTGTCAGTAGCTGTCAGTTTGTCTTCTTCATTTTGTTCTCTGCTCCATTTGTTGTGGCCTCCCCGCCACTATTTCTGGGTTCTTTGTATTTTTCTTTTTTTAGAATATCCTGCAATACTTTCTGTAGGGTTGAATTGGTGGTTGCAAATTCCCCCAGTTTCTCTTTATCCTGGAAGCACCTTGTTTTTCCATCAATTTCCAGGGACAGTTGTGCAGGATATCTCAATCTTGGCTGGAGATTATTATCTTTCAAAGCTTGAATTATTTCCCCCCACGTTCTTCGTGATTTGATAGTTTGTGCAGAGAAATCTGCTGTAATTCTGATGGGTGTTCCCTTGTAAGTGGTCTGTTTCTTGTCTCTTACAGCTTTTAATATTCTGTTCTTGTATTGAATTTCTGGAATTTTTATTATTATATGCTTGGGTGTTTCTCTGTTAGGGTTGTAGGTAGCTGGGGTCCTGTATGCCTCATACATCTGAGTATCTTTACCTTTTGCTAAATTAGGAAAATTCTCCTGGATTATTTCTGTGAGTAGCTTTTGTAGTTCACTTGTTTGTGTCCCTACTTCTTCTTTTATGTTCTTAATCTTTAAGTTATGGCTCCTCTTATCATCTTCTTGTCTTTGTATTATTGCTGTTTGTTTCTTTGTTATTTTTAAGAAGTTTTTCATTTCATTCTCCCATATTACAAGTCTGCCCTCCAGTTCAGATAGTCTGTCCTTAGTTTCTTTCAAGCTGTTATGCCAGTCTTGGATAGACTTCTTAATTTCTTGATAGTCCCTTTGAACCTGCTTCACGTACTCTATGCTTTCTCTGTTTTCTCCATCAAACAATTCTCCCCTCTTTTTCTGTTCTTCCATTCCACCATCTGTTTTTTCCTGGGTGGTGCTTAGCATTTCTCTAACTATTCTGCATACTTCTAGCTTCAGGTCATTGATAACTTCATTCCTGAATTGGTCTATGAGGCTCTCTATATGGCGCTTAATGTCTATTGGTGCGGTGTCCGCTATTGCCTGTTTCTCAGAATTGGGGGCCGAGGAGCCTTTCTTGTTGCTTCCCTTCCCCATATTCTCTGTTCCTTATATATATGGAAGCTTACATAGGAGGCCCGGCTTCCCTGCCTGTCAGCCACAGCCTGATCAAATTGCGCTGGCTAGGTGTTCCCGCCCACTGCTGCGCATCAGGGCGTTACGGACTAGGCAGCCTACGCAGGAGTCAGTCGCCCCTCCGGGCCACCGTCAGGCTCTGGGATCTGGGTTAGGCCAGCCTACCAAGTCTGCCCGCAGCGTCACGCAGGCCAGGCACTTTTCACCAATCCCGTCCAAGAGGGGAATGTGTGGCTGGAGTCGCCACCGTGCCCTGCTCTTACAGGACTGCCCGAGCCCAGAAAGCCCTCAGCTGGAGTCAAACTGTGGTAGAGTGTCAGTTTCTCTCACTCACCTCGCCACAAGTCAGTGTACGCCTCCTTGTCCATCCTGTTTTTGACTCCGTTCGCAGACTCCCGTTCCCAGAGCTTCTGCGCGTTCTCTCCTTGCCGAGCCGCTGTGGAGGCAGCCAGCCGCCGAGCGACGGGAAACCCAAATCGTGGTTTCCAGTGGTGCGGGGTCCAGCCTCCACAATGAGTGTTTTCTGTTCCTATTTTAGCGCCAGGACTACATTCCAAGTTGGTTTCTCTCAGCCCAGTTCGTTCCTGAGTCAGCAGAGCATATCTCTACTGGCTCATGTCTCCTTAGTCCGCATTATTCCTGACTTCTGAGCTGAGCCTTTCAGAGAGCCTCCAGTAGTTGCTGTTATCTGTCCGCCATGTTCTCCCGGAAGTCCATAATACACCATATTAACAGAGTCAAGGACAAAAACCATATGATCATCTCAAAAGATGCAGAAAAAGTGTTTGATAAAGTCCAATGTGCATCCATGATAAAAACCCCATAGAAAATTGAAATAGATGATCTTTATCTCAATCTGATAAAAATCCATCAATCAACAACCAATATCATACTAATGGACAAAAATGGAAAGCTTTCACTCTAAAAATCAGGAGCAATAGAAACTAAGGACAAAGATGTCCACTATCACCACTCTTATTCAATATAGTCTGGGAACATTAGCCAGAGTAATTAGACAAAAGAAAGAGTACAAGAAATAAGGATAGGAAAGGAATTATCATTATTTTCAGATGACATGATACTCTATATAGAAGACCCCAAAAACTCTATCAAAAGACTTCTATTATTTGGTAATAACCAAATTCAGTAATGTAGCTAGATACAAAGTCAACACTCAAAAATCAATGGCATTCCTATACCCAAATAGCAAACTTACCAAGAGAAAAATTAGGGAAACAAAACCTTTCACAGTAGCATCCCCAAAAATGAAATTCCTAGGAATCAATCTTACCAAGGACATAAAATATCTATATATTGAAAATTACAGTAATGTGAAAAAGAAAATCTAAGAGGCTATCAGAAAATTGAATGATATCTCTTGTTTTGGGGTAGGAGAATCAATATAATGAAAATGACCATACTTCCAAAATTATTATACAGATTTAATGCAATCCCAATAAAAATACCAATAGCATAATCTCACAGAATTAGTGAAAACAATCCCAAAATTCATTTGGAACCAGGAGAGATCTAGAATAGCAACAGCAATTCTGGGCAACAAAGGCAAGGCAGGGACATCATAATCCCTTACGTGAAATTATATTGCAAAGCTACGATTAAAAACACCATGGTGGACCAAGGATGTAGCTCAGTGGTGCAGCCCTGCCTGACAAGTGTGAGGCCCTGAGTTCAATTCCCAGTACCAAAAAAGGAAATAGTTGAAAGAAAGAAAGAAGAAAGAAAAAAAGACCAAAGAGCCAGGTGCCTTTTCCTGTGAGTCAGCACCATTCATGGACTGTGGGGGGCGGGGGAGGGCAGAGAACAAGAAGTGACCAAGAAGCCAGCCCTGCCTGCAAGTCAGTGCCATTGCCGGCCACTGGAGAGAGCCAGACGCCAGCCTTTTTCCATGCTGGGAAACAAGAGCCAACCCCCTACCCCCACTTCCATAAGCAACTTAGCTTATCCAGAAAAACACAGGGTGTGGTGATAGCTATTGAAGTAGAATACAATTTAATTCTTGTAGTGTTTAGTGTTTCATTGACTTTGCAAGTCTAAAGCCAGTAGTTTGATCATCTATTCAGAGCATAATAATACACAGTGTAACATCTATGGGTGGTCTCCTTCTGAAGGTGGTAGCCATTAATTCCTTATCATTTTGAAGTCCTGTATCATTTTCATTGTTTTGTTGGGTTGGGTTTTATTCTGTTTTGTTTTTATTATATCCAATGGCATGGGCAGCTATTTCAACAATAACAAGATTTACTATGGTAACCATTTTGGATTTACACTTATCTTGTTTTGAAGTCCTTTATTATATGCACTGCTTTATTTTTATTGGTTCTATTCTGTTCTGATTTTTATTATGTCTGAAGGTATCTGTAGCTATTTTGAAGACAATAGGCATTATGATAACCATTGCTGATTGTTTATTGTTTTAAAGTCCTGTGTCACTTATACTGGTTTGTTTTGATTGGCTTTATTCTGTTTTATTTTGCTTGGTTTTATTCTCTTTTAAAAAGTGGGGGGTGCGGATTTAGTTCAGTGGCATAAGCGTCTGCCTGGCAAGCACAAGGTCATGAGTTTGATCCCAGCACACACACACACACACACAAAACAAAAACAAACCCCAGAAACAGGGATCAATGGAACATATTACAGATGCAGAAACAACTCCAAACACACTCAGCCGCCTTATTTTGGATAAAGGGGTCAAACAGCTTCACTGGAAGATGTTTGTTTAATAAATGGTGCTAGAAAACCTGGCTTTCCATGTGCCAAAGATTAAACTTAGCTCCATATCTTTCACCATGCATTAAACTAAAACTGAAATGGATCATATATCTAAACATTAAAACAGAAACACTAAATCTGCTGGAAGATAAAATAGGTAGAACTTCTGACACTGGTGTAGGTGAACACTTTATGAATATACCCTAATTGCACAGGAACTGTCACAATCAACCACTGGGATCTCATCTTATTAAAAAGCTTTTGCAGGGCTGGGGAGTTAGTGCAGTGGTATAAGCATCTGCCTGGCAAGTGAAAGGTTGTGAGTTCAATCCCTGGTACCAAAAAAATAAGTAAATAAATAAATAAATATTAAAAAATACAAAGCTTTGGCACAGCAAGAAGCCACCAACACAACGAAGAGACAACCCATAAAGTGGGAAAAATATTTTCCCAGCTGTATTTCAGAGAAAGGACTACCACCTAGAATATATAAAGAACTCAAAAAAAAATCAGACTTCCCAAATTTAAAGACCCAATCCAAAAATGGGCTTCTGAAATGAATATACACATCTTAGATGAAGTAGAAATGACAAATAAATGAAAAAATGTTCAACATAACTGGTCATTTGAGGGCAGATTTTAACCAGGAATCTCTGTTGTAAGAGGGAAGAGTTTGGTATAAACTGATCTCTTTCTATTTGTACAAAAGCATCTCGGAATTTTCCAGGAGGATGAGAGAGGAAAGATGGACAAATACAGATCAGCAGAGCCAGAGAAGTGAATATTACTAAGGGTGGTCAGTGTAAAGAAGACCAGCCCAGCTATGTGAGCCAGGGCGATGATCAAAGTTCGGCTTCTGCCCTTCCACAGAGACCAGAGACAGCCCTCTTCTCGGGTGTAGCTGGAACAAACTGAGTTCTCTAGCAGCCTGCAGTTTCCTCAGGCAGGCACTTTAGGGACAAAAGAGGGTAATCTTAGGGATATGGTCTTGAGCTATTAGGAACTGTTTCAGGGTGAGGCCTACTCCGAGCAGAGGACTCAGAGGAGGCTGGTTAGAACTTGGTCAAGGAAAATCTTTTATCAGCTTTTCGCTTAGACAAAAGCAAACAATAAAAATTGTATCAACATCTATTGAGATTGTATACAGGGGCTTCACAAGGTTGAGGTGGGTACTATTAATTGCAGAAACTGAGGTTCAGAAATATGAAATGACCTGCCCGAAGTCACAGGGCCAGGAAGAATAGGACTTGGATTTGAACCCAGGTTTCACAGACACCAGGGTTCACAGCTCCATCCTCTACACTCAGCTCACCTTGAAGTCATCCCTCCCCTCTTGCACAGGACCATCCTGGCGATGTCAGTAGTCCACAGAACTGACTCCGAACTCATGCACAGGGATGAACGGTCACTCTCAGTTCCGGCCTCATGTTGGAACCCCAAGGGAGCTCTGCATACATGCTGCTGCTTCTGACCACAGCAGCTCTGGGGTGGTGGCTGGGATACACAGCCTGGTCACAGGGGTTTTGAGGAGTTTCCTGGGACTCCCCATGAATGGCTAGGTTTCACCTGTCTATCATTCCACTTGATCCTCAGGAGGGCCCCACAAGAAAGGCAAGCAGTTGACAGGGACCATGTCTTGCAGAGGGAAGGGGAACAGGTTCAGAGCATGAGGCTCACACTGAAGTATGACAGATAGAGTTTAGATTAAAAACCTTTATTATATTAAAGGACACACTGCCATGAATCTCCCTAAAGATGCTCCCCCAGCTTCACACATACTTATCCATTTTTCTGTCACTTTCTGAAGCAGTCCCTGAAGTCCACTTTCCTATCTTTGAGCTGTCATGGCTGCCTGCACGTCCTGAAATGATTCAAAATGTTGACCTTTCCTGTTCATTTTGACTCTGGGGAAGAGACAGAAGTTTAACGATGCCCAATGTTATGTATAAGGTGGATGATGCACTGTCATGTTGCTATGAGCCTGCCTTTCTGTTGGATGACACTCAGCACAGTGTTCTTTGTTTTTGGTACCAGGGATTGAACTCACGACCTCATGCTTGCCAGGCAGGCACTTAGCCTGCGGAGCTAAACCCCCTTATTCTCTGTTTTTAATCAGACCTTGTGATGACATGAATCAAGACTTCTAGAACTGCTTCCCAAAGTGGCAGGAATGGTGTGTGTTTGAAGCAAGGTGGGAGTATTTTGAGGAGGATTCATGATGATGTGTCTCTTGCAGCGATAAATTTCTTGAATCTAAACCCTCACCATGTATTCAGTCACCCCCTTGTGGTCCATGCTCCCTGGTCCTGGGATCCTGACCTTCTGCTGAGGATCTGCCCAAGGCAACTGATTTACAGGGGCCTAATTCAGAGGAAAAAACACATCCCAGGACTGGAAATGAGCAGATGCATTGCTCTTGGACATGAAGGCGCTTGTCACTCATTTTGAATGTGGAAGGGGACAGGGCTCAGGACCCCCAACCCCATAGGCTACCCTGGGAGGGGGTAACACCTCCTCACCCCTCACCACATACTTGCTCAGCAGAAGTTAAGGAGCCTGCAGCACCCTGATGGTGGTGGTGCCTTGCACAGCCAGCTTCTTTGGGGGTCTTCATTTTGGCTCCCGAGCCCCAGCAGGGCCTTGGAGGCACTAATCATTATCTGAGGCAACACTAAGCCCCCTAGCATGGGCCTGCCTTGGTGGCTGGCACACAGATGGGGCAACCTCAGGGGGAAGAGGGATCTCTGTCCACCTCAGGGGATTTGGAGGGTTTCCTGCACATCCTGGAGGGACTCATAGGCTCCCCATTATGGGCAGTGGAGGGGCCACTCTTTGTACCTGGGATCTCCTAGGCCCCTTGCAGTATTAGAAAGGACCAAGGTCACCCCAGTCTTGAGGTAAAGGGGGCCACCATGGCTTAATGCTCTATTCCCCTCAACCCTCTAAATCCAACGGTGGGGTCCTGTGACCACACAGAGGTCAACACAACCAGACAGGCTAGACAGGAATTGGGGGGGTGTCACGCCCACAAGACTCGGACCCAGACCCAAGACAGGGCGGGGCCTCGGTCGCGAGCGGGGCGGAGCCCCAAAGGTTCTGGGATCTGTGTCGTCACGGTCACCACGGTCGCCACGGTTGCCACCGCCGTCACCGCGCCCGCCTGCGCCGATAAAAGATAAAACTGCGGGGAGCCAGCGGGAGGGAGGCGCCAGCGCAAGGCGTTGACAGTGACAACGGTGACGCCGGCCGGCCGGGGCGCAGGACCGTGGCGATGGTGAAGGAGACGCAGTTCTACGACGTCCTGGGCGTGAAACCGAGCGCGGCGCCCGACGAGATCCGCAGGGCCTACCGGAGGCTGGCGTTGCGCTACCACCCCGACAAGAACCCGAGCGAGGGCGACCGGGTGCGGGGGCGGGGACGCGGCGGGGGCACGGGGACCGAAGGGGTCAGGAGGTGGACAGGGCCCCTGGGGACCGCGGGGGACAGAAGACTTAGCAACCGAGGGCATAAGGGTGTAGGGGGAACCGAGAGGGGACCGAGGGCAGAGAGAGGTCTAGACAGGGTGCTATGCGCTCCCCACCCCCATCCCCGCCAGAACCCCAGCCAGAGAAGTGGAGTGTAGGGGCCCGGACTGGGATGGGGGCAGGCAGGACGGGATGGGACCACAGACCAGGTGCAGGGATCTGGGAGAGGGGATGGATGGGGGGACCAGGAGGGTGGTGGGGGAGTCTGGGATCAGGGTGGTCTGGTAAGGGGGCTGGCCAGCCTGCTGGTAAGGCCAGGGACCAGTACCCTAGTATCTTCCAGCCTCCCTCACCCCACCAGTGACTGTGGAGCCCGATTCCCGGGGTCAGGGTATGGAGGCTCCTCTCTAGGACCCCCATGGGACGCTAAGGCAGTGCAGCAGAACGGGGGTGCCAGCTGACACCAGGGTACTGGGCTGCATTGTGCTGGGTTCTCCGTTGATGCATTAACATTGAGGTGACTTCCTGTCCCAGCCTGCTTTGCACACGCCCAAGGTCTCACCTAGGGCCCCTTCCTGCCCACCCAGCTCACAGACGTGGAGGGATCTGAGGCTCACAGAGCTACTTGTTATGTGTGTTCCAATTACACTGACCACAGTCGATCCTGAGTGCCATCATAATAGACTGGGCATGCCTGCTCTTAGAGACCTAAATTAAACTTTTTCTGTCATTTACAGCGACATTCTGCTCCAGGAGGATATGGTCCACTGGAATAGGTAACTTGGATCAGGCATTGAAGGACAGTTTGTTAGACTCCCAGGTCTCCCTTCACTCCTGGACTTTTCTTATAAAACTCCAGGGAACCTAGAGGGATCAGAACAGCTGATAGCAGTGATCCTGTGCCACTTTTCAAGCCACCACCACCATCTTAGCTTTTAGACCTGTGGCAATAATACATGGATCAAAAGACCCGCCTGCATTAGGCATTGCCAGCTGGGGCCAGCTGCTCGGGAAGGTTGGCTGGTGGAACGGTGATAGAATATTTATATTTAGCCGTGTGCTGAATGTGACTGTCATAAGTCTAAAATGCTTCTGTGCAAGACCGTTCCTCCCTCCCTGCTGGCGTCTGTTCCCTCTATATTTAGGTAGCTTACTGTAGCTGTGAATGTCCTAGGCTTGCTGTGAGATTCACAGCCTTGTTCCCTGTCTTTTCTGAGTCTGTTGCTGATGTGTCCTCTGAGGGCTCCTGGCTGGTCAGTTCCTGCTCCAGCCGGCTGGCAACAGCTGTGTGGGAAAGCCTGTGACCTGGTTTTAGGTCAAGCCTCATAGTGGTTACCCGGAGTGAGTTCACGGCCATGTGAATACTGAGTGAAATGAGTGTGCTCGTGGGGCCTGAAGTTTAAAAGAAAGAAAGCAAAAAAAAAAAAAAAGTAGGTTTGCTCTTTACACATGTGCAGCTTTCACTCTATGTATACCTGTCTGGGAAGGTTGTTTGCTTGGTTTTAAACTCATATTTATTTCTAGCCAAGCCCTGCATTCATGTCAAGCCAGAGAAGAACTTAGCAGTGAGGTCCAGCAGCAGCTCTCAGAACTTTTCTTTATTGTGAGGGTCTTTACGTAGTTGGAGGCAGAACATCTCATTTTTCTTTCTTCACCTAACTTTGTAACTGTATTGTCATTGGTGGAACCTTTGGTTTTTTTTTTTTTCACTTGAATTTGTCACTGCATTATTAATGTCTCTTCAAAAATAGATTAAGCTGATCCTTTTCCACCTTACATGGGACAACTGAGAAGGTCGTGGGTGTTGGTCTTTGTTTTGCCCTGTTGTCCTGTGTTGCTAAGTGTCAGGCAGCCTGCATTTGTTTGTCACACAGGCTGCTCTGTGTGGAGTTTGTGTCTGTCTGTCTCTGTGGCTGGTCTTTTGCAAGACCCAGGGTGGCAGATGGCAGGGAAACAAAATGATCCCTTTCAGGGGTAGTGATAGGGGTATCTTCCTGGCTGCTGCCCTGTTGAGATGAGTTTGGTCTTTTGGTCAATTTCATTGTAGGATGAATATTAGATCTTCAAGGTAAAATTCCTAACAGTGTAAGAAGTTTCAGAATGCATAGGAAACCTCACTAAGAGCACATCACCCTGTCCGCGCCTGTGCGTCCTACAGAAACTTCTCCCAGGATGACCATAGGTGGCCGGCCTGATACATGAGCTTTTTTTCTCTCTTTTACTCAGTATTTTATCATAAATACTTTTGCAAGTTGCTGCACTGTCTTCTAAGCCATCTTCTCCAGCTGAACAGTTGGTCTGTTGAGGGTCTATGCAGAAGATCACAGTCTAAAAGGCCAGAGCCCTCATCTCCAGTGGAGGCAAGGAGTCCAGACAGGAACTGAGTTAGAAGTGGAAATCTTTGGTCCCAGAGGCTGGGTGGAGGGACCAGTGTAGGCAGGGAGATCCCCCTCCCTGTGAGACCCAGCTTCTGCTTGAATGCTCAGGATTCTTGGGTTCAGCTAGTAAGCCTACAGATCTGTGAGTCTCCACAGTGTTTGGTGGGCATCCCCATAGAACGTGCTACATGACCCTTCCTGATTTGCATACAGGCCCTGACTTGCTAGAGGCCTAACTGCTTTCCCAATTATGCTATGCAACACCTAGCCCATACGTTTCAACATTTCTGCTAAAGAATGGAGTGGCCTTATAGGGAAAGAAGGAAGCTAGCAGAGCTGGCACAGAACTGGGCATAGGACAGGAAGATGGCAAGAGGGTTCAGCTGGGTTGCTAGGTGATCTGGGACCAGCTTTTTACTCTCAGTGGCTACAACTGTCAGGAGGTTTGGGCAGAACATTGGTTGGGGTGAAGAGACGCTGGAAGCGGGGCAGGGAAGCTGGTGCAATGGTTCAGGCTGCTGAGGGCACGGTGGGCCGAGGTGGACAGTGGCAACGGGGAGAAGGACAGAATTTGCATGTTTTAGTATTCAGATCTGTTTTAGAGATGTCCACTTGCTTAGCAAAAAGACAAGAGTAGCCCAGGGAATGCCTGCAGCCCCCGTACCTATGATAATGATTGTGTTAGTGGTCTCTGTTATGTAAATCAAGGTGTTCATACAGAGAATACACACTGGTTTAGCAATCTCTGATATTAATACTCTTTGCTTATATCACAGTCACTCAGTGCTAATTAGTTCAGCATGTTTTTCCTAGGAACAAGGACACCTTGTTGGTAACCATAATGCAATTATTAAACACAAGAAGTGTAAATTTTTTTTAAAACTGCATTTTTTAAAAAACTGCATTTCTCTGCTTCCCTAATAATGCCTTTGGTAGCCCTTTTTCCCTGTGCAGGATGCATCCCTGGACCATTCACTGTGTTTAGTTTCCCTAGTTTTGCAGAACCACTATGCCTTGGGTTTTCTGATTCTCATAGTTGGGTTCCAGTTTTGGCAGCATTGTCACACTTGGGTACTGCGTCTGTCTCAGGGACACCAGTGGAAAGGCAGTGCCAGAGTGATCCATTGCAGGGTGCAGTTGGTGTTGCCAGTAGCTACAATCTGGGGAGACCTAGGAAGAGACAGGCGTCGGGGGAGCATGAGTGCAGTTCACACTCTGTGTCTAGTGTTGCTAGGTGTTCACGGTACCTGCAGGTGAATTTCATGCTGTTCATGAGTAAATCGATCCCCGGGAACTCGAAGCCATAGCAGCACCTGGAGTCCCGGGCTGTGCCTGGAGACAGAGGTGGCCTAGTTGGATTTTGCCTCCTCCTCACTGGGCTCTGCTTCTCTGCCTGGTGCAGCCAGAGTGGGAGAAACTTTCCTTTGCCCTGCTTTCTCTCCAGTCCTTGCAGTGTCCCCGTCATTAGTCCCTCACAGCACTGGCCCTGTGTGTCACCCTTAGAGAAGCAGCAAGCAGAAGTCAGCTTCCAGCAGCTGGAGGGACTGAGTGCAGGTTCCTGTGATTGGTTTATATTTTGATGGTGCTTTTTTTTTTAAATAATAAAATGACTCAAACCTCCTCTCTCTTTTTAAATCTTTCTCTTTCTCTCTCTCTCTCCTTTTCTTTTAAAGTTTAAACTCATATCCCAGGCCTATGAAGTGCTTTCAGATCCAAAGAAAAGGGAGATTTATGACCAGGGCGGGGAACAAGCAATTAAAGAAGGAGGCTTGGGCAGCCCCAGCTTCTCCTCTCCCATGGACATCTTTGACATGTTCTTTGGTGGTGGAGGAAGGATGGCGAGAGAGAGAAGAGGTAAAATGTTTCTAACGGGATGTAAACAAGTTTTGTTGTTTGCAAAATTACAAGTGCTGCTGGACTCAGGACAGACTGTGTTTGAAAGGGTGCAATTGTCATTTACTCATCCCCGGTAGTCCCTAGGACTGGACCTCAGGAGATGTCCATCCCTGAACAGGTGCCCACTGTCCTGGGTGCAGAATCAAGAGCCTGGCAGAGGAAAGAGTCCACAAGTTATAGAAACAAGTAAAGAGCTTGATACCCAAGGAGGAGTTTCAGTGAGGGGTCGCTAGTATACTTAGTAATTCTTACAGCCTTCAAGCACCAGACGGAGGAGCAAATAGGGTCGTGGGTAGGAAGGAGGAAAGTCAAATTCATTTTTCCCTCTTGTCCTTTCTTATGGCGTTGAGGCACCAGGGTTTCTTTCCTGAGGGAGAGATCCACCTGCCCTCACCCATGGCCTGGGTTCTGGCCTGAGCCAGGGCCAGTGGGCTGTCCCGTTCCAGATGGGACCTGCCATGTTTAGTGCTATCTCGTTTTCCTGGCTGGCTCAGGATTTCCTGGATAACAAAATTCGCCACCTCATATTTTATAAGTGGTCCCTGGTATTTTACAAATGGTACCCAGTTTTGAGTTCTGGGGCTTGCTCTTCCTCATTTCTCCTCTACCAGATTTCAGATACCACCTCTGTGGTCAGTGATCCCCGGTGGTCCAGGCCCGTTACCCTTGCCCTATGCACTGCTGACAACCTTCTTTGAACCCTAATACCAGATAGATAATTGAGCTTAGTACAACTCTTGATAAAATCAGGAGAAAAAAACCTGCATTATTTGTAAGAAATTTGGTTTTGGTCAATGAGTTCCCTAGAAAAATGTGCTTGTTCTCACATTATAATTTGAGCTTTAAAAATCTTGGGTGCCAGTCCTGTGAATACCCTGTGCTAAAAGTCACCAAGTGTTTATTAGGGAATAATCCCTACCTGTTCTCTGGTATGTCATCTGCTGGCATAATTGATAAAGTGAATGTGATTAAAACCCTGGACATTCTCTTGTCCAGCTCCCTGCTGCAATAAGATGAAAAACTTCATGCCCTTCAATAAGTCATCTCTCGAAGTTAACAACCAGGCAGGCAGGATACCTTGTCCCAGAGACAACAAGAACTCTGGGCAGCAGGGAGACCCAGCCTTAGGAGCTGTCCCACCCCAAGGAACAGGTGCCCACCATCTTGGGTGCAGACACAAGAGCCAGGCAGAGGAAAGAGTCCACACACGGGTACAAATTACAGAAACAAGAGACTGATGCCCAAGCAGGGTTTCAGTGACCGGCCCAGCACCTCTGGCTGTCACACATTTATCTATGAGGAAGGGCTGTTTTCATAAAAGGAGGATTTGGTTAACAAGTGTCATTGCTAACATCTTTTCAATTGTCACTGAGCCTTCTGTTTTTCAGTTAGGAATCTCCCTGTTCTCAGATTTTTTTTTTTCTCAGAAAATAAAGGTAGCAAGTCTGTTTTGCTGATGCCCATTAATGACTGAGAATTAGTTGATGTTAGATGGGGTATTAACTCTTGGTGTTGGCAGAGGCCAGAGGGTAGAAGAAGTGTAACGGGAGGGTCACTTCCTGCAGAAGAGGAAGAGGAACTCGATGTCCTTAAGTGCAGGGTCATGTGGGTGGAATTCAACACTTTGGTCTGTTTGTTACACTATTACTAACTGGTTTTTCCCCCTTGTAAGGCAAGAATGTTGTGCATCAGTTGTCTGTAACTCTGGAAGATTTGTATAATGGAGTCACCAAGAAATTGGCCCTCCAGAAAAATGTAATTTGTGAGAAATGTGAAGGTAAAAATTAAATTTTCAATGAATCTCACAGTACTGATGCTTTAGGTCTAGAAGCAAGTCTGCTTGTTTCATTGTTCAAAGAAAAATAACATTTTATCCAACTCAAGGGTCAGGCAGCCTGAGGCCACAGCTATTTGCCTGAATGGATGTTTTATTTGGGCTGTACATTTATTTAACTTGTTGATAGTTATTTTTTAAATGTCCGAATCAAGACAACTCACCTAACTTCAGGGTTGGCAAGGTTTTTCTGTAAAGGGTGACACAGTCTATTACAATCTCCCAATTCTGTGGGCCCAGTGCATGAATGACTGGATGCACCTGTGGTCCAGCAAAGCTTTATTTAGTGAACCTGCAGCCTGGCTATCGTTTGATGAACCTTCACTTTGATGTAAAGGTAACTGATGTGGCCCAGGCCCCACTGTCCCACAAAGGATTTGTCAAGCTGGTGGCTGCTTCCGTTGACAGAGTTCCTGTCCTTTGAATATTTACAGCCCAGCCTCCTCCCTGGCTTGTGACCCTGGATGTCTTTCCATCCTGAGATGGATGAAAGAAAACACAATTGATGTTCTTCTATTATTTTGCTAACAAGGATCGAACTCACAACCTCATGCTTACCAGGCAGGTGCTTACGCTGCTGAGCTATATCCCCGTCCCATGGAAACACAATCAGGCTAAAATAATAAATTTGCATCAATACAGCCAAAAACACAATGGTGTCAGGTCACATGTTAACATCTGGCACGGCTAGGTCCCTTCAGGCTCTCCCACACTGCTTTTCATGACTGTAAAGAGACTTGCAGCCCATGTGCCCTCCAACAGTAGATTGCCTACCCTTCTACTGTGGTGCTCAGGGGACACGGGAAGGGAACAGCAGAGTCCTCACTCCTGTCACCACCACCCCCAGGTGTCGGTGGAAAGAAGGACTCTGTGGAGAAATGCCCACTGTGCAAGGGACAGGGGATGCAGATCCATATCCAGCAGATCGGGCCAGGCATGGTGCAGCAGATCCAGACTGTGTGTGTGGAATGTAAGGGCCAGGGCGAGCGCATCAACCCCAAGGACCGGTGTGAAAACTGCAACGGTGCCAAGGTAGTCCGGGAGAAGAAGATCATTGAGGTACACGTGGAGAAAGGTGAGGCTGCATGGCACTGGGGCTCCCTACTCAGGCTTGGCACTAGGGACTTGAGCTGCACACAACCTGGAATTAGAGGATGCCAGGGTGTGCCAGGACTCTTCCTGCTTTCAGGGGTTCCCTTGGCCCTCCTGACCATATGTCTATTCCATGGCACCCGCCAAGGTTGTCCTGCTGCCTCTGCTTGCCTGTGATCACCAACTTCTTTTAAGGTTTTCTGATGCCCTCAACTCTTACCTGACCTCAGCTTTGGTTCACTGCCCTCCCTGGACCATGTTCAGAACCTCCTTTGGCACCTGTATTTCCTGTTGTCCATTGGAGCTTGTGTCTTGATAGCTCACACCCCTTTCTTCCATGTTCCTCCCTGAGGCATCAGATTCTTCTATCTAGATTGTCTTGTCTTGCTGCTTGTCTTGCCTGGTGGTATCACTGTATTTCACTTAGGTCCCAGCTGTTTTCCAAGTATTTCCTGAGTGTTCTGTGGTTTTCCATGCCAGCAAACACACTTTAGCTCAAGGAGGAGACCAAAAGTTCAAGAATCAACATCCATACCAACTCAAGTACAGAGAAAGGACTCCTCACTTAAGCCTAACCCTGTGCCTATGTTCATACTATGTGTTAGAAAGACTCACTGGCTGTCCCATCCTTCTCAATCCCCAGAACCACATGCCATCTGGGAGGCAGGTGGTGGTCTCGTGTTCAGTGTGGCCTCTCTGTGGGTTCACGGGGCTGGAGCTGGGGCGTGTGGTATAGACTGGATGTGCCACCTCACACTCCCTTCACACCTGTAGGCATAGCCCAGGGCCTTCATGGCCCCAGGAAGCTGTGTCCCTGTGGCCTGGACCTAGTCCTCCCCATGCACAATTGTGGTTGGGAGGCTGAGAACTGGAAGGGCCCCAAAGGACCCTGCGTCCCTTCTTTAAAAGCTCGGAGAAAGTACGGTTTTTATGAGAAATGGCTAATCAGAAAGGGCTGATGTTCCATAGGTATGAAAGATGGGCAAAAGATACTATTTCATGGCGAAGGAGACCAGGAGCCTGAGCTGGAACCTGGCAATATCATAATTGTGCTTGATCAGAAGGATCATAGTGTCTTTCAGAGAAGAGGCCACGACTTGATCATGAAAATGAAAATTCAGCTCTCTGAAGCTCTTTGTGGCTTCAAGAAGACCATAAAAACACTGGATGATCGAATCCTTGTTATCACATCCAGACCAGGTAACATTCCATGGGCCCCACTGTGCTTGCTCTGGGTGGGACGTGTGACCTCTGTGACTGGGACCTGATTTTCTCTAAATTTAAAGTCATCGGTAATGATCAGAGGTTTTCATTTCCTATTTTCCTAGTTGGGAAGGGCACGAAATACAGAGCTGGGGACAAAAATCTTCAATAGAAATCTTAGGGCCTGAAATTCTAGTTGCATCTGCCAATTAAACTTCAATTTTAGTTTTTATTTAGTTTTTCTGGTTTTTTTTTTTTTTTTTTTTTTTGAGATGGGGATCTCACTATGTAGTGTAGGCAGGCTTCAAACTCAATGATCCTTCTGTTTCAGCCCCAAGTGCTGAGATGATAGGCCTGTGCCACCATGTCCAGCACTTCAATTTTAAAGAAGTTTTGTAGAAGAGAGCATGGCTGTTAAAAACAATGGTGTTTTTCTGTCAAGTGAGCTGTGTGTCGATTTGTCCACATTTTCCTCTGGCTTCTGTGTTGTCAACCACTCAGGAGAGAGGGTTCAAAATCAAATTTTATGAGACAAAGACATCTTCAGAGGCATCCCCACCAGTGAGCAGTCAAGGGAGGCTTCCTAGGGCCTAAGCTCGACCTCACAGGGCTGGTGGTCATTGTAGCCTGGGTCCTGGTCATATGTGGGCTCTGCTAGCACGAACTGGAAGCAGGGTGAGGCCAGGTCCAGGCTTTTCTTTTCTTTTTTTTTTTTTTTTTTTAATTTTATTTAAAAGGAAAAAGAGAAAAACACAAAACAAAACAAAGCTGTGTAAGGGTACACGTAATATAGAACTACAAAAAAAAAAACAGTAAGAAATCACCAGTTAATAGATTACATATTATCATCTTAGAAATAGTTGCTCAAATCACAGTATCAAAGAATACAAAGTGGACATTCAAACAGTGAGACTGCAAACAGTTGTGTTCAATGATCCAATCAAAACATTAATATGGTCAGTTATTTAACACCCCTAAACACACTTGCTGTTGTATCCTTTAGAGCTCTTTTTTTTCCCTCTCTTTTTTACAACAAAATATACACATTTTGGGTTTTATTACTCCTTAGTTCTTATCAGGCCTTTCTTAAACCATTCCCAAACAGCACACAGCTATCCAGATGCCTGACACCAGGGCCTGCCTATGGCCAACAGCGGGGTTGTTCTGGTGACTTCCTGGCTATGGGTCAAAAGCTGCTTTGGGCAAGCAGGGTAGGAAGGGGTGGCTGGGAGGTGACTAGCTGATAAATTTGTGCAGGGTGTGGCGGTCATGGTGGTTGGGATAAGACCTGGAGTCCAGGGGACTGTGTGACCCTGCAGCCACCCACACGGAGCTGCCCTGCTCTGGGCCTGTTCCTCTGCTCTCTGCCTCTTTGCCAATTCTGACCTGTTCCGTTTTTCCCTGAGTTTTCTCTCTGATTCTCTCTGGGATTGTGTGAAATGGAATTATACTTCTAAGCATTGACCTAAGTTTGTGGTTTTTTAAAAACCTTTTTACTTGGAGACAATTTCAAGCTTATAAAAAGTTATAAAAACAGTAGGAGGCTTCATAGCTGGTTTTATCTGTAGTTAACATTTTATACCATATGGTTTTCCATTTTCCCTGTGTGTATATGCAAGCATGAGAACATGTGCATATATGTGTACACACTGGATCAAGGGAAAGCACTGCAGTGGTGGGAAATTCTTGACAAACACACACAGTGCAAATTCTCTTTACTCATTGTAGAGGCAGGTGAGGCACATGACCTGCGTCCTGTCCTTGACTCGCTGACATTCTAATTCCCTTGCATGCAGATCAGAGACCTGCAAGGACTAGGGGTACTACATCTTCTTGTGATTGGGTTGGAAAATCCCCTCTTGAGCCAGGTGGAGGAGGTGAGGCCAGCAGCCTGGCACAGGCTTCTGCTGCCTCTTAGGTCTGCCCAAGAGAGGCTGACTTCTGCAGGCCCTGGTTTCCTGTGTCATACCTGACCTTCTCTGTGGCAGGTGAGGTGGTAAAGCATGGGGACCTGCGATGTGTGCGCAATGAGGGGATGCCTATCTACAAGGCCCCCCTGGAGAAGGGGATGCTGGTCATACAGTTCCTAGTAAGTGCACTGTTTTCTTCCCGGGGGTGCTGCCTTGGTACCAGAAGGGACAAGTCGCATCATTCTGTCCCCTCCTACAGGTGACTTTCCCTGAGCAGTACTGGCTGTCCCCAGAGAAGCTACCACAGCTGGAAGCCTTGTTGCCCCCTCGGCAGAAGGTGCGGGTCACAGAGGACATGGAGCAGGCCGAGCTGCAGGAATTCAGTGCTGGCGAGCAGGGCTGGCGCCCACAGCGCGATGCCTCCGAGGAGGACGAGGATGGGCCCCGTGCGGGTGTGCAGTGCCAGGCAGTGTGACACAGGGGCAGTGTAACATCGGCACAATGAAATGGTGTCCTGTAATGGCTATGTCTGGGGTGTCCTGTGTGTGTTCAGCGTTCTCCGTGGCTGTCTTTGGATTTCTTTTGTTTTTCCTTTGGTTCTGATTTAAGTTATGCTTGGCTCACATTTAAATGTTTTACATGTAAGTCACATCAGTCTGCCCATAGAATCTATCTGTCCACACTTTCAGTACCATCGAGGGAATGCTGGTGACCATACTGACATTTTGTGCTTTTGGTGGCTTTGCTGTTTGTTCAGCTCCTGGTAGCACTTGGCTCAAAGCCACCCCCAGCCCCTTGCAGGCCAGGAGGCACAGTAGGTATCTCAGCTGTGTCTGCAACTGGTTTCTCACCCCTGTACCCTGGAAGTTGCGGAGGGCCTGCACACAGGGCTGCTGATAGGCCACTTCTGAGTCCAGGTTCCAGATAAATGTCTGCACGGACACAGCACGTGCATGGGGTTTCACAGTCCTGGTCCACGCCAAGGTCCTACATGCTTTGCTCGGTGCCCCCAGATGGTTGTTGTGGACACAGGAGTCTGTACTCACCTCTCCTGGAGATTCTCTGAACTTCCTGAGTCCTGTGGGAGGACACACCAGTGACCCCGCCCCAGTTCTCTGGTTTTCATGCTTTCTGTTGGAACCCCTGTAGCCGTAGCCCACCCAAGTGCTTACTTGAAAATGAAACTCTCCTGTATCACTGGTGACTTGAAGGACTGGGAATACCCTACTATCCTTCCTACATTCTTCCAGCTGGGCTCTGAAAGGTTATTCCTTAACTCACAGCCATATCCCGAAGGGTGTCCCACTGAGGTCACATTATGGGAACAGGCAGGCCGTTCTGGGGCCTCATCCATCTGTGTGAACTGCTACCAAAAAGGCTGGTGCAGGGTGTTAGCTGTTGCCTCCTTCCTGGTAGGCAGTCCACACCTGGAATTAGCATTACCTTAACTTCAGGCCATCACTGTTTCTTTCCAGTCATGAAGAGAAACCACTACCTGTGAGCTGCTGGGTGGGCCCTTGTCTTGTCCAATGGCACCCAAGTTGAACCCAGATGGGGACTCCTGGGTGGGCCACAAAGCAGGTCACGGGGTGAGCAGGTGATAGCACTGCTGGCTGGTGGGATATAGCTGCTCTAGTAGAGAGCGCCCACCTGTGCCTATCTGGACCACTGGTCAGGAGACTGAAAGCCAATTTCCCAATCAAGCCCACCTAAAGATCGACTTGAAATGGAGCACCCTTCCAGCGTGCCTCTCCTACGCTGTAGCTTCTGACAAATGATGGAGAACTACCGTTTAGTTGACAAATGGAGCAAAATTATACCCAGCTCCTTCCTGTCATGTAAGTGGCCTTCTGTACAGTGTTGCTTCAGATTTTATTCCATCTCTACATCTGTCACTTTAAAATTAAAATGGAGCTGCTATGAGAGACAAGTGGCTTTGTTTTTTCTTCCTGCAAGCAATGAAGTGCAGTGTTAACATGTGTGGGTAGAAGGGATGGAGCTTCCTTATACATGAGGGTGACAGGAAGGGGTCTCTCTCAGGGCTGGGCAGCAAGGGAGGGACAGTGAGGCCTAGACAGTGAGGTTCCAGGAGCCTGAGTGAAGCCGAGGCCTGAGAGCAAGCAGAGTGTCTGTTTTGAGGGTGGGGGATGGAGGGAAAGCACCAGTGTGAGCGGCTCTCTAGGCACAGGAGCCTGTGCTCTGGGACACAGCACTGTCCTGCAGTTCAGAGCCCAGATGCTGCAAAGGCAGCAAGGGTAACCGCCTTCCCACACCCAGCACTGGGTCACAGAGTCTCTTCCGTGACAAGGGGAAAGGGAGCGCATCGGGGATCATTTTAATGTGCAGAACAGAAGGGTCCCCAGGTGGCCAGGACCACAGGCTGTGCCCACACAGCCAGACACTCCATCTCCTTTAGGACTCTGTTCTTCAGGATCATAAGGGTGCTCAGGAGTCGGTCCCGGGAGAGGCCTGCATTTCCAAGCTGCAAAGTATAGTAGGCACCCAGCTGCTGCTCTCTCCACTAAACAATGTCAGCTCCTCTCATCATTCTCCAGCACCAGGTGAGCCAAGAAAGAGGCGTGCCCACCAGAAGGGGTGTTGTATCAAGGTTCTTTATTAAAGTATGAACTGCATTTCCATTAAAACAGGAAAATGTATGACTATGCTATAAAATTCAAGTCTCTGTTACAGTATGTGCTCAGTTTCTTAATTTAAATGCATGTAAAAGGTAAGGAATGTCCTGACAATCTGTACGTCTTCTCCACAGCATTAGCCTTAGAGATGCTGATGTCTAAATTGGACAATCATAGATGTGAATTTCCTGGTCATCTCCAACAGACACAATTTTTGAGCCATTTCCATTGTATTTTACTCCCCAGACCTGTAAATTTAAAAAATTTTATTAATGTCTTATTCTTTCTGAAGACTATTTATAAGAGGAACATCCTCACTTAAATCTCACTACTGAATCTAGAAAAATACTTGAAGGTATTCTTCCTAAATCAGAGGTGGCTTGTCTTTAACCAGGTACCTTCCTTTTGTGTCACTTTTTACCCCACCTGAACATCTCTATGCTTTTTATCAGATTTTATTGGTATGCTTTAGATATACAATACTCATCATAGAGAATTTGTATCTGTACATAACTTATTTTTTTCCCCATTCCCCTACCCTCCCTTTAACCCTTCCTCTCCTCTCCCTATTTACAAAAGCATTTCCAGGTTTTCCTTTCCTATTTTTTTTAACCTTTCCCTTCTTTCCTTCCCTCCTCTTCCCTCCCTTTTTCACCTCTCCATCTGAACATTTTCTTCCTATTTCACAACACTTGTTATACACTTAGGTCCTTATTTACACTTTTGGTGTCTCAAACCAGAGAAACAATGTGATATTTACATTTTTATCCAATTCACTTCTTTTAAGGGAATGGATTCAATGTGTATCCATTTTCCTAGGAATGTCTCAAACTTATCCTTTTTTATGACAAGGTAGTACTCCTTGTATTAAAAATCGTTTCTTCTTTATCCAGTCATCAGCTGATGGGCATTTGGGCTGTTTCCAGGGTTTGGCTATTACAAATTATGCAGCTATAAACACGGGTATGCACATATCACTGTGGTGTGATGCTTTTAAGTCTTTTGGAAAGATACCTAGCAGGGGAATGCCCAGGTCAAATAGAACCTCTAGTTTTAAGTTTTTTGAGGAGTCTCTACAAAAACCTCTGATTTCAACAGAGGTTACATCAGTCTACATTCCCACCAACAGTGAAGAAGGATTCCTCTTTCCCCATAGTTGCTCCAGCATTTGTTATTGGTTGATTTCTTGTTAACAGCCACTCTTCCTGGAGTGAGATGGAACCTCAGTGTTATTTTAATTTGCATCTCTTTGTAATTCTTCATCTGAGGAGTGTGTATTCATCTCAAATGCCCATTTTTGGATTGGGTCTTTAAATTTGGGGGGGTCTGAGTTTCTTTGAGTTCTTTATATGTCAAGTAAACCTTTGTCTGAGGAACAACTGACAAACAATTTTTCCCACTTTGTGGGCTGTCTCTTCTCTCCATTGGTGGTCTCTTTTGCTGTGCAAAAGCTTTTTAATAAGATGAAATCCCAGTTATTTATTCTTTGTGATAATTCCTGTGCAACTGGGGTTTTATTCATAGTCTTTGCTTACACCAATGTCTTTAAGAGTTTTACCTATTCTATTTTCCAGCAGATTTAATGTTTGTTTAAATATTTAAGAACATTTTTATTTCTACACTAACTAGGATAATCTATAACTTGTGCAAAGTTTTAGAATCCAGAGGATGACCACAGAGTCCATAAAGGACCAGCATTTATGCTGCCAGGAGGAGAAGCACATGCCCACAGTTACTGCCTACAAGAAAAACTGCCAGATGCTCACCCCCTATTCCTACCCATTGCCCTGGTCAGTTAACTTCTGCTGCTTATTAGAGTCCTAGGAGCCAGCCACCCTGGGTATCACTGATTTTATGTGCCATGCATTCAACAAACAGCTTCTCACTTCCTTCCCAGGCAGAGCTGATGACCATCAGGACTGCCTTTCCTATTGTGAGGGACTGTTCTAAGTTCAAGAGGGTCAGGCTGTCACCCTGGCTGTGAGATGTACTTAGCATGGTACCTGGGCCACGTGACCCTCTTCCTCTGCAATAGCAGCATGTGGAACCCCCCCCCCCCCGCCCCACAGGACCACACAGCACCAGGCTTATTCCCTTAAGCCCAGCAGTGGGCCATCAAGACCAACCCCTGGGACTTTACTGGCCACAAGATAAGAGTGAATCGGGGGGCCAGGAATGTAGCTCAGTGGCACAACTGTGAAGCCCTGAATTTGATTTCTAGTACCAACAAAAATAAATAAATTTAAATTAAAATTAAAAATAAATAAAAATAAAAAGAAAGAAAAGAGTGGATCAGCATGAGTAATTAGTTAACTTCATTCCAAACAAATCTATAAGCATCTGGAAACATTCAGAACATCTTAAAAGCCAATTTTATGCAGCAGTGGGGTTTTATTCGTATGCTGACTAGTTCCCAAACCCTGATCCTCCAAGTGTTTGCGGTCAGCAGCCTGCTGTCCTTTGGTGTGTGTGACAGGTAAGGGCCATGGCAGACATGCTGGGTCAGAACTACAGTTTAGCTAGGTGACCCCAGCAGATCCCTGTGCACAAGCTGCACCACATGACAACACTTCATACCTTGGCAAAGGTACAGACAGGAGCACTTCAAAACTGGAAATGAAATCCAGACAACTTGTAAGAATATCCCTTCTAGTATATTAAAAGACAATCTCATCTCTTCTTTGGACTGTTCTAAAAAATGGCAATAATAAGTCTTGCAAAGACAGCTCCTAATGAGGAGGGCCCTTCCCAGAGGAGCCCAGTGAGCCCCTGTGACTCAGGCAGGGACACCCCTGTGGTGCTAGGTGACAGCAGCTAGCCCTGGGCTCAGCTACACAGACATTAGCAGCAGCAGTCCCAACCCAGGGGTCTACCACTCTCCATTCAAGAGGAGGAAAATAAAACTTCCCACACAGGGCTCAGAGAATGCTGCAATTTAAAGACAAAGGCACTTAAATTTAATTATTCCATACCTGATCCTGGTGATCAAAGAAGGTGTGAACACAAGTCCTTGTTCCAACATCCCACACTTTCACACTTTTGTCAGATGAACTATGTCCAAAAAATGAACATCAGTTAGTATCAGAAAACAGTTCCAGATAGAAGTTGAATATGACCCCAAATTCCCACACTCCTCTACCGTCAGAGGCTGTTCAGTTGGCACAGAGCAGGGCAGGGTCAGCAGCTTAGTGGCCCTCTCGGGGAAGTTGCCCTCCTGAGACTCTGCCTCTAGGAGCTGCCGTCAAGAGGCCCCAGTCTATATACCTTCCTGGATGCCAGGGAAGCCTGGTGAAACTCCCAACAAAAGCTCTTGCAGCCTCCAGACTACCAGGAAGAACCCTTACACTGTCCAAAAGTCCAGCCACAGTGGCTACCACAGGCCTATACACACTTGGATGGAGAAGCACAACAGTCTTTTGAACTAAGGATTGGACCCATTGAGGTCCATCTCCAACACTTTTTATTACTTTTATTTCAAGAAAGGGTACCCTTAAATATCCAAATTGCCCAGGCTGAGCAGGAACTTGTGATTCTTCTGCTTCTGCCTTCCAAAGTACTAGGATCACAGACACTTGTGACCATGCCTAGCTCAGAATCACATATTTGTAAATTACTGTTGAAATACAGGCACACTGCAGAATAGCTGCAGGTAGAAGCCTAGATTTACAACAAAAACCTAAGTTTAACTGTTCAAAAGATGTCACTTTTGTCCCAGCAAAGATCAGCTAACTTCATTATTTACATAAATACTTTAAGCACTGCAGAAAATGATGGCAACTTGAATTTGAAAGGGGTCAGTCTTCAAATTTTAAGGCAACTCATTCTGGAAGACACCTTTATCTTCCTAGTATTTTAGAAACTGCAAAGAAACCCAAGTACCTGGAGACAAAGTGGGTGTCATCAGGACAGAAGGCGACGTTAAGCACCCAGGAGGCATGGCCACTCAGCGTGCCGGCCAGATTGGCGTGCTGTCTGCAAGGGGTCAGGGCACACACAAGGAGGGCGTTAATGTGCACTTCCCACCACAGCTCCGAGGACTCGAAGGCAAAGGCACTAGGGGTAGGGTGGGGACTGGAGAGACAAGGGTGACTGACAGAAGCCGAGTGCAGGTCCCCACTGTCAGGGATGGGAGCAGGGATTCTTAGTACCAAGGAGACAGACAGCAATGCTTGGTGTTGAGTGCAACGCCTTCAACTCACACATCGTAGATCTTGATGTAGCCATCATCTGATGCAGTGACGAGGAGCTGAGAATCCGGGGAAAAGGTCAAGGAGCGGATGGGCATGGCATGGCCTGG